CTGCTGATTTTCTTGTTGTCAATGCACAAGTCATTAAACTAAAATACATATTTGTGTTCACAGGACAAGCAGCTGCGTGATGTTGGAGACTGGCGTAAAAACATTGAGGACAAGACCGATAGGAAGAAGATGTTTGATAGTTAAATGTGATCTGTCTTTGACTGTTGGGCTTAAGAGTGGACAGAATTCGGGTCTAATGTCTTTGTAGCTGAAGAGTTTTACTCCAAAATGCAGCCTATCTGATGTAAGCCTGCCTTCTTCTTTAACAGACAGCTGTGGAGGTTAGTCTGATGACGGTGTGAATCTAGATCATAGTGAGTTCTCTAGACAAGCTTCTAGCATGGTACTGTAAGTGATAAATGGCCTTATCTCCTCAGTTGGTTTGCACATTTTTATTCAGAGCATGAGTCAAGCTTCACAAATGTGTATTTTGTAAATGTCTGTAACACAGCTGAGGTAGATGAGGAAGAGCTGGGCTAGTGTTTTTAGTTCTGGGATTTTTGGATATCTCACTTTGGAACAAAACTCTTCGGTTAAATCTTAGCCTCCTTCTGCTTCTGCCTGTATTGACACTGTACTGTGATGTATTTGTATTTTGATGTTAGTCAGCACGTGAGTGGCGAATCAAACCTTGTTTTGTAAAAGCTGATTCATGCTTCTGCAGTAAAATGTGCCTGTACCTGTTATGTTCCTTCTTCAAACCTACTGATTATGTATTTTCAATTTGCGCATTAAGAAAAGTTGAGTGGAAAGAGATTAAACTAAACTTCTTCTTCTTCTTCTTCTGCAATGGTGTAATGGGGAATCAGCTCCACCAGATGTTTATCCAGATGCACCTATAGGTCCCACTATTCACCAGCCAGCTGTGGATAGAAACACACGCTAATATAATTGTCTTTTGCCATTTTGTAGTTTCATGCAAGGATCAAGTGTGGGTTGAGTTCAGGTTTGCTTGTTTTAAAATGTAATTTATTAAGAAATGTCTATTTCACACTGTGGCTGTTGTCTATGTTGATACTTGTTGTGTTGCATGTGATGCAAGGAAATACACTGTGCAATGCCCAGTGTGAAGACAGAGGCCTTAACATGACAAGCTGACGGTCGGAAGATAATATAAAGCAAAAAGCCAATGATACAAAAGACAAGAGTCACCCACTGACTACTCCAACTCCAAGTAATTCAGCCTACAGTTTGTGCTAAACAACATCCTGGCATCTTTTCCAAACTCTTCCAACAGACATGTGATGTACTTTTCTCATCTTGTTGCTGTCACATTAAATACAAAAACTTCATGTTCATCTTGTTCAAAGTCTTATTGAATCTGCAAACTGCTCTCATAGTGCACACAGCTTAATGTCTTGTGCATTTGGCATCTCATTCCTCAGAGTTCCTGCAGGTTATATTTGACCTCTGCTGACAGCTGTATCATATCGTCACGTAGCAGCTGCCTCTTCACTCACACCAGCCAGAAGTAGAAACAAGAGAACAGAGCCATCTAGAGAGGAGAGGCCTCTGCACTGACCTGTGATTAACCTGTGGGTGGGTTATACAGTGGAATTTACAGTCTTTAATGTTCTCCTTTCAGCCAGGATGTCAGCGCCCTGAACATGAATGAAAACTGTCTTCAGTGCTAACAGGTAGAGTTTCCTTCTTCAGCTACAAAGGTTTAACTGCAAAAGTTCACTGAGGGTGTTCTTTGTTTATTTCACCAATAAGACCTCATGGCAATGAAAACTACACAGACTAAAGGTTGAAGAAGTATTCCTCAGTGCACGCTGGGAGTCGGTGTACAAGTATCAAAATGTTTGTAAATTAAACAGTGAAGACTGATGGTTGTAGGTGGTATAACCATAACTCAGTGTGTTTAGTTAAGTTTAATTTATTCAGAAAATCTAATCTTTAACATGTTTCAAGTTGCTTTTCCATGGGGGTAAGTCAGGGGGCTAATTCAGCAGTCAAAGCCGTGTCTCCAGGTGCAGTTCCTGAAATGGCCACTAGATGCTGCTCCATGTGCACATTTGGCTCTCAGAGGTTAATTGAACACTTTCTGATGCGTCTTGGTGAAATTTTTGCTGACATGTCTAACACCTGTACGTGCAGGACTCAGACTGAGCAGCCATGTAATTTGTAGTCAGTCAGTCTTGTGTGTTTTTTTTTTTTAATTTTTTTTACATGTTTTATATTCCAACATTTGTCACTGAAAGAGTGAAAGGGTCACTTCAATGAAAATTATAAACTATTCAAAGATCAAATCTTAAATGGAGTTTGGGTCAAAAACAGCATTTTGACCCATGGTTACAAGTAAAAGTCTGTAGAAGAACGTACCGAAGGAATACCAGAAAATATTATTTAAGGCACGGCGGTTTTCTGCCAAGTCCGTCCTCAGTGTGTTAGTTTTTAGTGGTGGTAAATGGGTGGAGAAAATAAAGAAAATACTTTCAGAACATTCACAATAGCAGCACAACAACCATCACTGAAAAGTCTATTTGTCCTGTGTGGATCTTTACAAAAACACGTGAAGGAAAAATTCATTTTAAAACCACTCGATGAGATAGGAGGTACAGTATTACTCAGTGTGGCCCCGTTCCAATGAACGGAGCTACTCATGGTGTAGCTGCTGCACGGGCCTGTTTTTTGCTGTTGTACAATGTGTGGCCTTGCTCAGTTGAATAAAAGTTCAAATCTCTGCTCACACTGCCAGAATCCTCTGAACTTTAATATTAATTCTAAGTACAAAGTCGGCTTGTGTCAGGACACATTTTTGGATCTCATGAACACTTATTGCACTCTGTGTCCACAGTTGATGCATGTAGTGTACATGATGTGCCAGCTGCTGGTTTACAGTAGTGGAACCTTTTTCATATCAGTTCAGGAGTCCCAGCTGTTGAACTTCACCTCCATCACCTTTTTCATATCAGTTCAGGCACCGGTCGCTACGGTAACGTCATCTGTGAGTTAATGAGATTCCTTCTGTCGGTAGAAGCAGTGAAGCTTGGATGACAGACACACAGAGACGTTCAGGAGCCGCAAAATGCAAGTCAAGACTGGAGGCTATGATGTTTCCAACTTTATTTATTCTAAGAGCATTTTCTCCTTTTGCATTGTTTCTGGGGAGGGTGTACAGCGGGTTAACACTGGGTCCCTCTGAGCCGCCGCCCACAGACATTAATATGGAAACTGAATCTAAATACTGATATTGTGACTTCCAGAGCAAACTGGAGGTGTGTAAACCTTCTAGAAATGTCTCTTAGCATTTTACAGTATAACACAATAACATCAGCAACACATCCTGTGACAGCTATCATGCACGCTAACAGCTTTTCAGTATTGGCAGCTGAACAAAGTCCACCCGGTTATACCTGCGTTTCTCAAAAGAAAAACAAAAGTCTCCCTAAAACTGACAAACAGAAGCATTCTTGTTCAGGTAAATCGCTCCTCAGAAGAATCTGCACGTTACTATGCTTTTATGTGCCAGTCATAACCTAACACTCCCCTCATGGAAAGTCTGCCTTCCTCCTGTCCACATATTTTTAATCACACAAGTGTTAATATGAGAAGGCCTTGTGCTGCCAGAGAAAGGTCTGGCAATGTCCTGAGAACAGATGCATGGCTCGGATCAGCAGTTCAAGATGAGCCGCTAACGTGATATTTATAGATAGAAGAAATGGCAGCTTGTTGAGCAATTTATAGGGAGTAATAGTTCAATGAGATATCAGGTTTCTCTGGTGCTTTCTGTCTTTTCAGCCTGTTTTGTGAAGTGGCAGAACACTGGAGGCTCGTCGTACCTTCACTTTTGATATTTAGGAAAATCCAAGATGGGATTTCCTCTGTCGCACGGCCTTGTTAAGGCTCTTTTGTGGCTTTTTGAAATTATCTATGAGGAACAGAACTTCTCAGAGAGGAGATGAAGTTCAACAGCTGAGACTCCTGGACCTTTGCCGTTACAGTTGGAAAAACGTCTTCAGAAGTCCTCGTCTTCCAAACCCAGGTAAACTCAAGTCATCTGAACACTGAGTGCAGCATACTGGATGTGTTTTCTGTAGCCTATGGAATTTGACACTTGTCAGTCTTTGTTATTATATCTATTGCATTTTGCTCTTAGAAAACATGACTTGTCCCTTAATCCATCCAGACCTGAGATAAAGTCAGGATCCATTAAATCAGTGAATTAATGCTGAAATCATTTTAAACATTTAGAAATTTATTTCAGTCTACAAGCATCAAATGCTGATGTTTATTTTAAGAACTATTTCCATGCTCAATACAGCCTGGTTAGGAGGATGTGTCAAACAAATTAAACGCCATCTTGGTTATCGGCTTGAAAACATGGCTCTCTGTTAGCAAGCCAGCCGCCCTTTAACCTTGTCCTGTGTTCAGGTGTGTCAGACAGCTGTGGTAAAGGCAGCTCTGCCGGGTGTTTCCTCTGGGGAAACCACCTGAGCCTGAACTCCCCAGCTGAAACGTGTTAGTGGAGGCCATGGCAGGGAGATGCTGGGAGCAGTAAAGGACGTGTTCATCATGAGAAACCTGCACCAAATGGTGAAGAGATGTTCATGTTTCTGGTGTGAGCATTTGACGCTATGAACCCTCAAGAAACACATGGCGGTTGGTGCAAACCTGAAGCTGGCATCTGACGTGTGGCTTTTAATTAGCACCTAGGTTTTTACAAACTTGAAATTCTGCTTAAATCTGACAAAGGCAGGTTTGGATCCAGACCTAGATGTCTTTGTTTTCCTTCAGGTTCTGAGGAAAAAAGCATCTTTTAAAAATCTTATTTCTGTTTTACAATTTTAAGTGGCGTAACAACAGACAGTTAGCAGATAATCCTTTAAACCCTTTAACCTGTGAATCCGGCCTGAAGAGACCGACCCTTTATTTGCAGTTAATGGGCATCTTTTGCTGCTTCACGTTGATAGCAAGCCAAAAACAACCCCCAGAACACTCTACTTCTACTAATCCTGCCTTTTTCTGGTTGCACTTTGTTTTGCAGTGAATGCGAAGCATCATCACCCTTGTTCTCTCTTTTATAGCACCCGATGGCACCAAGCAGAGTCCCAAAACGATATTAAGCTCCTCCTGGATGACGTCTGATTTACAGGGTGAAGTTGGCAGATGATGATGATATTTCAGGAGCTTGTTGAGCGATTGGTCTGAGGTTCCTGCATTTCCATAAACAGGAGCTCCATATCCATATCTGAGCCCTCATATATATACAGCCGGGGATGATTTCATTCCACTGTCACAGGCCACCACTGTCCTCCTCCTCCGCTTTCCGTCTGGTCGTAGGTGAGACCGTTTTCCCTTTCTTCCTCCTCCACCTCTGCCCATGCCTGAAAAGAACCGGCAAATTGATAAGAGCGGCTGGTGCAGCTTTTGTGGGCAGAGGTGTTGGTTTAGTGCTGAGGAGATAAAAGTGCTGACCTCTGGGGTTTGTTAAGGAGTGAAAGGAAATGTGATACGGGGTGAAGGAGAGGGCTGATTACCACGGGCTGTGGTCCAGGGATTGTGAGTTTAACCAGCGCTGCACAGGGATTTTAATGAACTGAGGTAGTGTGATGCTGACCTGTTTGCTTTTGGATTTGTGTGCAGATAATAAAACTGTATTGTTTTGTATGTGGCAGCTCATTTGGAGCCAAATTCAGTCATCAAAACATAGACCAGACTTGGGTTGTGATATTTCAGCTCATTTGCAAGTCGGGGGGCCAGAGTAAGGCCAGTTGATTGTACGGTGTTAAAATAACACATAACAACAAGGTGTGTTTGTAGTAGAAACAGTTTACAATCTCAAAGCTTTTGGCCAAGTTGACAGTCTGGAAATATGATCCGTGCACTTGGACCTGGCTTTTTTGGAGGTTTGGTATGAAAACAAAAAAGGAAAAGTGTTTATTTTCTATAGTGTTTTCAAATTTTTTTAAATATCAGATTTGAAAATTGAAAAGATTTTTTCCTCGACACTTTGATGTTTCTGAGACTTTGAGGCCAAAAGAAACAAAGTTACTTGCTGAAATATTTATAGTGGATTTTTATTTTTATAGCATTTGGTTGATTTGGAAAGTTTGGAAATTTGATCTGCACACTTTGATGTTTCTGGAATTTGGGTGTGGAATAACTAAACATTTCCTGATATGAGCTTTGATTGATTTCAAAACTTTAGATATTGGATCTGCACATGTAGACATTTCTGGAGTTTTGTTCTTGAGCAAATATTAAAGTTAAATGTTTTTCTTTACAGTGTATTGGCAGTTTAAAGTGTTTGATTGATTTGAAAAGTTTAGAAATTTGCTGTTTGTGCTTTTGTTTGACTTTTTTGGAGCGTTGGTCTGGAAAAAAGTTCATTTTGTTGATTCACCATTTTAACAGTGGATTCTCAAGCTTAATTGATTGAAAGACTCATTGGTTGATTGATTTCAAAGGTTTTAAATTGGATGTACATATTTGTAATCTTCTGATCTAATCTAATCTGGTCTGGATTAATGAAGTTTTTAACCCAATAAAAGTTCATTTTGATGATTTAAGACTTTTTTTTGATACTGCAAAAAATGTCCAGTTCAGTTATTTCAGTCATTTAATAAGTTTGTGTGTTGAGGTTTTGTCTTTCAAGACTGAGGCATTTAATGACTCATTAGCCAAAATGGAAAACTAGAACTTTGAATTATTTTTAGTTGACACGAGATGGGATTGATGTGGCTGACTTGTTTTGATGGGTGTGTTTTTGCAGTGTGTGTGCTGGTTTGTGCGCTGACGGCCTGTTGTTGGCATTGAACACACTGCTGCACCACATTAAGTCTTCCCCATGAAAGGAACTGAAGTGTTCACTCCCAGAGGATATTAAGTTTTGAACACCTGTAAAGGAGCTCATCTCACGACATGTGACGCCAACTCCAAACTTAGCCCTGTCACCGCTCGGCCACTCGTCAACTGTTGGACCAGATCACATTTCCTCCAGACTAGGGTCTCTGATATTTAAGCAGCAAGCTGATGATTCTCAGTGTCTCAGTGTTTCTTCTGTTTTTCTCTTTAAACAGACTGTGAAGTAAAGAAACCGCCAACATGTCTGAGTAAGTGCTGCCTCTTCATCATTAGTCATTTTTACTTTTAAACCCCTCAGTGTGTTTTGGATGTTACAATGAACTGTACAGAAAACAAGTCAGGCCACAGTGTTCAAACATTTGAATACTAGTAAAAACATCAAACTTTCAGTCGAGGTTTTCCCTTCTATCTATCTATCTGTCTGTCTAACGGAAGGAAAGAAAGAAGAGGAGATAGGAGGAAATAAAGAAAGAAGGAAAGAATAAAAGAGAAAAAAACACAAAAGTGAAAAAGAAAGAACAAAAGAAATGAGGAAAGCAAGAGAGAAAAACAAGTATATGAAGAAACTTTGGGAAGAAAAAGAGAAAGAATGGAAGTAATGTAGAAAATAAGATAGGAAAGAAGGAAAGAAGGAAGGATGAAAAAAGTGGAAAGAAGGAAAATGGAAAGAAAGAGAGGAAAGGGGGAAGAGGGAAATGAACACAGGAAATCAGGAACAAACATGAAGGAGAAATGAGAAAAGAGAAAAGACAAAAGGAGAGAAGGAAAGGATGTAAGAGCAACAGAGACAAAGGAGGAAAGAACAAAAGCTGAAGGAAAGAAGGAAGAGAGGATGAATAAAAAGAAGTGAGGATGAACAGAAGTCATTTAACCTGTCAGGATGCTAACGCCGTTGTTTGTGTTCCTCCCAGAAAAAAGATGAACTCGAGTCGCAGGCATCATCTGAAGGTACGACAAAGGCAGTGTCAGCCTGTTCACTTCCTGTCTGAGCCGGATTCTAGTGGGTGAAACAGACAAAACTGCTGTTGAGAAAAAACCTTAGAGTAGAAAAACAAGAGGCTGTTTCCACTTTGATTCAGGCGTTGTGTTTGAGGCGTAACATTTCAAAGACACACGTCTACATTTCTCATAAATCACAGGCGTGTTCACAAATGTTTCTGCAGAGTTTAGTTAAATAAATTATAGTAATTCTGTGTGAGACACAACAGGCAGTGTCTGAGTCCTTGTAAAACAGGAATCTGATCTGCTGTCAGCCCTGTTTCCCACATGTCCATGGGAGAAACTGAACAGGTCTTCATGGCAGCGATGAAAATTTAATTATGGTTTATGAAATCACATTTACAGGAAAAAAGCTTTTGCCTTGAAATCCTTATATATGAACCCTGGTGATAAAGTTATTCAGATGAAGTGTAATCGCAGGTTGTTTTCTTCTTCCCTGTTGACTCGTCCTCCATTCTGCAGAGTTTGATGCTGTCGATTGCGGCGAACTGGATTGCGCAGGAGAAAAAGGACATCGCAGCTGCCAAGGAGGCCTACCTGGCTGAACACTGCCCTAAACCCAGCATGGGCGGAGACCAGGCCACGCTCATGGTGAGACTGTAGGAGTCATTCAGAATATCCTTTCTTATATTTAGGCACATGATGTCTCTTTGTTTGACTTTCAGATATGAGACATTATTAGCAGCCAGTTATTTGAAGTTAAACTTGGGGTTAAATTTCACATCTCTCTGCTTGTTTAGGAAACCTGCAAGAAGTTGCACGCCCTCATAGACAAAGCAGATGAAGAGAGGTACGACCTGGAGAGCAAAGTGGGCAAGGCTGACAAAGAGGTACAGCTCCGCCTGTTCAGCTGAGTATAGTTGTGTCAGACACACAAGGACTTTGCAGAGCTGATGAGCCTTCTCGGCCTCTATATGACACATAAACAGAGGGATGGCCTGGTTAAACACATACTGGGTTGTTGTTAAGGTGTGAAAGACATAGGGGGTGCTGTTCACATGTTCACTATCATTTGTGAAGGCAAGTTTCTGAATTTACGGAATTTTAACAATGGTGTTGCAACACGACAGGGAATCGATTTATGGGGTACAAGACACACAGGTTTCAGACTCGGCCACAGCACACATCAGCCAACAGAGGGAAAACAGAAGCTTCAGGGTTTGTTGTAATAATGTGAATTTGTAGAAATCCGTAGCCTTTCTGTGCCTAGTCAGCCGGCTGGAGGTGTGATAAGGAGGACGTGTGTGACTGCAAAAACAAATGTCTAAACTGTCACCAGATCCTTAAACCAGATGCAATGGCCTGTTAGAAAACAATGAACTCTTACTTTTTATTTCATGAACTTAAAAAAACAACAGTAATTCTGGCATGTGCAAAACCTCATTTGAACAAAGACTCTTTTTAATGTCTTCTTAATGTTTTCTGCAGATGTGTTTGTTTGTTTGTTTCACTCCAAAAATGAATTTTATCAAACATTCGTTTAGCTCTGCAGAAGGCCGCAGCCGATCAGTTACTTTTACTAAACTCATTCATATAATGTTTCATGACATTAGCAGAACATAAGTTAACCTGGAGATGACTGAAGTGTTTAAATCAAAATGCAAACCTTTTATTAGCACTAACTGGGAATCCACACTGAAAGCAAGACGTGAGCTGTCATTAGAACGGCCTGATCAGCCGTAACAGATTCCAGTAGAAACAGAAAATAATAGGGTTTGTGTGATTTTAAACAGCTGTCTGTGGAGATTGCACTTCACTAAATGCGGCAGAAGGAAAAAAATTAGACCTGAAGTGTAAAACAGCATGATGGTTCCAGGGGGACCCGTCTCGGATTCAGTGTGGATTGACCCTTTTGATAAAATGGATTTCTATCTGCAGTGTGAGACGGGCATAGAAAACTCAGTGTGGATTAGGGGTAACAGGCACTAAAAACTGGAAGGGGTGCATCTCAATCCTCCTCCAGCATCCTCCTTAAATACTTTACATGTACCCCTGGTATCATCAGAAACTGAGTCCAGAATATGGATTTGTAGTACCTCAGGGTTTCAGCAGTGAACACACAAAGAAAACGTGTTGAGGCTCTAATGCTTTCGTGTATAAGGCTTTCCTGGAGCGGTATGGACCAGTCTAAACTCCATATGTATCAAACTTATGAAAATACCAGTAGAAAATATCTGTTGTCCATGTTTGGCCACCGCTATGAAATGCCCCACAGCTCAGTTTTAAACTACACCACTGTTGGTTCGGGCCCGATTTCACCTCTAAACTGCTTGGCCACTCTTAGATCGATGACCTGAAGATGAAAGTGGTTGACCTGGCCGGACTGAAGAAGCCGGCTCTGAGGAAAGTGCGCATGACCGCTGATGCCATGCTCAAAGCTCTGCTGGGCTCCAAACACACAGTCAACATGGACCTGAGGGCCAACTTGAAGCAGGTCAAGAAGGAGGTCAAAGAGGAGGTGAGTCTCTGCAGTCAGACAGGTGAATAGAGCTCAGTTAGAGATACAGCTGTTGACTGTGCACTGTGTGTGTCCTGCAGCCTCTGGAGGCGGTCGGCGACTGGCGTAAGAACATCGAGGAGAAGGCTGACAGGAAGAAGATGTTCGAGGCCGCCTAAAGAATTTAACTCTGCTCATCCAGCTTCTCTGGGCTGTTAGCACTTTTTATGGGATTTTTCATTGAATGGAAATAACTTGTTTAATTAAATTTGTAAAGTTCATCTCGGTCTGTTATTGTACATTTGAACAGGGAGTGGTTTAGATGGCAAGTTCCCTCAGACTTTTACTCAGTAATGTGACTTCCTGTTTCCCTCATGTTCACTTTTGACAACTTCCTGCTCCTAGAGCTTTTGTAATAAATGTTTTGGTTTCCTACACCTGCTCTCGGGAGGTATTCTGTCTTCACTCAGTGACACACAACACTGCAAAGGACGCGTATCACACGCCTTCATCAGAGTTAAAGGACCTTTTAAACAATCAAAACAAATTGTTGGTTTGTTTTTCAGTCTGTTTTTACACTTTAAAGCAAAACTTGCTTTAAATTGAAACAAAATTCATGCTTGTTTTTAAGTGTATAAAAAGAATCAGTGAATTTTTAGTGAACAAAAAGACACTCGAGTGTAAATGAATGGAAAAACCTTTTACACTGAAATGATGTTCCTTACATTACTGGTACTAAACTCTGTAATAACCTCAGTTTGAGGGTGGACTCAGGCTTCATCGAGGTTGTGTTGTGCTGTTTGTAGTGCTGTGCGTGTCAATGAGGGACAAGACACGATATCTGTTTCCTGCCTTATTAGCCCTAGAAATGACATTTTTATTCAACAAATTTGCAACAGTAAATACATTTGAAAGGAAACTATTCATGTATCTGGCAATGTCTCAAACAGTGTTGATGAATCATAAAATGTTATTTGACAACTTATTTTGTTGTCAAACCACAACCTTCCACTAACCAAAGTGTGCTTGTTGTCTTAACCTGCCCACATGCAGGGTTCTGGATGTGAACCCCAGACAGCAGGACAAACATTTAGAGCTTAAATGGCTCTAAGTAATGTTGCTTATAAACCAAGCAAACACTTCAGTAACATGTAAATGTAATTTCTAGGGGCCAGGGCGGTTCATGTGTTCAGGAGGCTGTGAAAAGTGAATGTCAACCTGTAATTAACAGATTCAGGACAATGTGTTTGTTTTTGAGTTTTAAAGATAAAATTCCACATTTAGTAGCAAAAAGTTTACATATCTACAATAACAGGTGCTATTTTGTTCCACCAGGATCTTCAGCCGTTTGTCAGCAGGATTTGCTGAGGAAGGCTGTGAGACATAGCTGAAAGCTAGAAGGGAAACCTTTAGTTTAGATGCTTTATCACAGATGTGTTCCCAAGGTTGAGGACCAGATGTTTGTATGCCCTTTGACAGAACCTAACGCAATGCTGAACTGCAGTTCAGTTAATTACAGCACCAGTTTGTAAACCAAACCAGGTTTATTTCTTTTAGTTTAAATGTTTTTCTGTGAACACAGGACAAACATTTTCTCTCAGGGTTTCAGACACTGATGACCTGAGACACGAGGGACTTTGCAGACCTGTATACAAAGAGATGGTCATGTCTGCTCAGGAGAACCCTCCCAGGGCTAACAGTTTATTGGGGCTGTCCTCTTGTTTCTGAGTGAGTCCAAAATGACAGCAACACTGTGCACGTGTAGCTCAGTGAGCTGACTCAACCTCATGCTGTCAGCAGAGGGCTTCATGTACCACACAGGGTGTTCAACCTGTGGTCCTCTGCAAACATCTCAGGCCACATTTAGATCCTGTCAGACAGAAGAAGTCAAAGCAAATTTATTAAAACTCCTGTAAATGTTTTTTCAAAGTAAAATGTTTGACAGTTCTACAAAAACGCAGATGAAACAGATGCATTTGAACACAAGATGCAGTCTTTATGGTTTCACTGTATTTTAGATTTTTAACAAAGTTGGAGAAAGTTGTGGTTGTCGATCAGTAGCAAATATTTTATGACAAATTTCAGATTGTTACTGGCTGGGTGGCTGACGCCCGACGTGTCATTGGTAACTAAACAGTGTATGTATGTCATCCCTCTGCTGAAACCTGGCTATTTCATAATGGACACAGAAGGTGAGCAGCATCAGTTTGGTTGTTGTGTGTTTTTGGAGACAGCTTCTCATTGACAGGTTGTTTTCAGTAAACATTGCCTGTAGTCAATCATGCAAACAGAACAGGAAGCCTGCTTGTCATAAGTGTAAGCCTCATTTATACTTACTGCTGTTTTTGTCGTTTTCAGCTGCTGTCCCACATTTGTCTTGACTCGTCGTTTCCAGATCGCTTCTCGTGCAGAGCCTGGCCTGTCCCTGAGCAGATGGAGGATTTACAAGGTGTGCGGTCAAAGGATGACAGTATTTCAGGAGCTCCTTGGCCTGGCTGGGCTCAGAGGACCTCATGGCCATAAAGAGGGACCCTTGATCCCCCGTCCTAGGCCATATATATACCTCCAGAGATTTCACTCTTCAGTGTGTGTCCCAGCCCTGCACTCAGTCTCTGCTGCCCTCCTCATCGTCACTTTGTAGGTGAGAAACAACTTTTACTTTGTGGATTTAGTGGATGAAGTGAAGGAGACACTCTCTAACCAAAGATTTCAACCAGTATTAAATGTTGGATTTGTACCAGAACTTGTCATTGTTTTGCTGAATGTGGTCAGAGTCACTGATCACAAGTGTTTTCTCTATTTTCACTCATGTATTTGCAAATGTAATGATTGGGCTCAGCTGAGAGTTAAACAAACACAGGATACTTTCAATTTACAGTTAGGATGCAATTAAAACATTGCATACATAAAGGTGCAGTGCCACATTTTCTCTACATTTATCAACTTTACTTTCACCTTATTGTGATATGAGTGTAAAGATCTTCTCAGGTTTACAGCAGCTTAAAACAAAAAGGTTCCCACATTCACCGATAGACACAGAAAGATTTCCAAACTTTGCAAAAGTTTAAATAAGAAACAGTGTAAGGATTTATGTTGAATTGAAAATGTTGAGGTTTAAGCATAAGATAACACTTTTATTTTTCTGTGTGTGATATTACATGTCTGAACCAGACCCAAACTTTTAATCCAGTGCATATTACTAGTCATAAACGGAGGTTTCTCTCTGCTCCTGAACAGGCTGTGGATGCTTTTATGTATCTTTCTCGATAACCTTTAAAAACCTTTGGACTTTGTGCTAAACTCCCTGAACTGCTGGCTGCTTTGACTTGGCTGTGATCCACAGGTCAGCTGAGAAAAACACGTCTAAATATGAATGGAGTTTATGTAAAAAAAACTCAGCTTGATTTTATTTCAATCGTTACATGTCTGCGTGTTGCCACATGTGTTTCCCATGTTACTGTTCATAAAGAGCTCAGTCTAAATGTCACTGATGACCTTTGACCCTGAGCCAGGATTAGCTGTGACCTGACTGGCCTAGTGGAGCTTGGATCCTAAAGCTTCTATTTTTATGACAGAGAAATGAACCTGCTCAGACCATAGGTTCACAGACACCGACTAAAATAACACAATGTAAATGGTTAATGGTTCGTTTCAGTCTTTGACCATTTTGGGTTTGTCAGAACAGCAAACTGTAGTTACACATGAAGGAAAAATAGAATTGTTACATATCATGATTTAAAGTTATTTCCACTGAAAGCCACAACTGACTTTTCTTAAATTCCTAATATATTACTTTTCAGTCACCTCATATTTTCGTCCTGCTTTACAGTCTGAAGCTAAAGAGAAGCCAAGATGTCTGAGTAAGTATCAGTTCATTGACCTTTTCTAACATTAAACATGTTCCATAAATCCATAAATCTCATTGGTGGCGTGTTTTCATTGATTAAAGGGGAAAGAAAATGTCATCGAGCCGCAGGCATCATCTCAAGGTACGACTGGCCAGAAGTCTTTTGTTATCTACTAGAAATTAAGTGAGAACTCAAGCCCAGCACAAACATGACTCCAGTGGGGTGACAATGTCTGCTGGGTGCATATATATATTCTTTGCTAACATGTTAGTGAAACAGCCATACGTCAGAACTGTTTTTTGTGTTGTTTTGCCACCTACTGGGCAAAAAATTTATTAGGCTGTCGAGTAAAATGGAAAATCTAAAGTTAAATGTAAAAACTTCACAGTCCCTGTCGTTGTCCTGCAGAGTCTGATGCTGCAGGTTGCTGCTCACTGGCTGCATGAGGAAGCTAAAGAACTCACAGCCACCAAAGAAGCCTACGTTGCAGAGAGATGCCCCTCTCTTGACCTGAGCGGAGACCAGGCGGCTCTGATGGTAAAACCCCTGTAGCACAACAAATAAAACATCACGCTGAGTCATAGAGAGGGGGGGAGCCAAGGCTGTGAAGGGCTGATGTTGTGAGACAATCCTTCCTCTTTTCATATCCACAGGAAGTCTGCAAAAAGCTGCACCAGGCCCTCGACCGGATCGACGAGGAAAGATACGACGCTGAGGCCAAAGTGGCAAAGACAAACCAAGAGGTGGATAGAGCTGTCAGTCAGAGAGGCACAGTGTTTTGTCTGTGTGAACACCTTTAATTTATAATTCTAAGCTTTTTTTCTGCTATAATTTGATTAAGGTGAATTAGATGATGACAGAAAAGGTGTTCATGTGTTCTTGTTTGTATAATTTTGGTTGCTGGACATTTGATTACAAAGGGACTAAATGTACATTTTAAAAAGTTGATGTGAAGGCTCAGCAGGAGCTACTTCTGGACCTGGTGGTGAGATGGCTTCAAGAAGTCGACCTGTGTTGCCTGTTGACACCTGTCCAGCACTACTTCCAATTGAGCTACTTACAGTTAAAGAATCCTCCACTAACAGAATAAAAAGGGAAACTCAGCTTTACACACAGGTTTGGGTGGACTCGTGTCTCTGTCAGCTGTGTTTGGTCTTTGAGCCTCTGTCTGCGTTTGCAGATCGAGAACCTGAAGATGAAGGTGACTGAGTTGGCCGGAGTAAAGAAACCCGCCCTGAAGAAGGTGCGTATGTCTGCCGACGCCATGCTCAAAGCTCTGCTGGGCTCCAAGCACATGGTCAACATGGACCTGAGAGCCAACCTGAAGCAGGTCAAGAAGGAGGTCAAAGAGGAGGTGAGAAGGAGCTAAGGCTGAATTTCAACATAACGATGAACTCGACCTGCATTGCCGTGTTGACTCTGTTTGTCCTCAGGCTGTCGAAGCGGTGGGTGACTGGCGGAAGAACATTGAGGACAAAGCTGACAGGAAGAAGATGTTCGAGTTTTCTTAAAGACTTTCACATTTGGATCTCCATTTTCACATTTACCCGTCTCTGGGCCTTCTGCATCTCTTTCCACTGTCTTATCTGACCGTTTCCATGGAATTGGGTAAACATGTGCCATTAAATTTGTTTTTGGACTAAAGCAACGCTGTGAGGCTGCAGTTTGTTTCCAGATAATGGTAAAGGGTCAATTTTTATTCAGAGGAGTTGCCCTGGTTTTTATATCGGTGCAGTTCTGTATTCATCACTGTTTATCTGGGAACATCTTAAATGATCTTCAAAGACAGAGCAGCAGTAAATTGGAAATTTCTTCTTAGTGCAGATTTGTCAAGGCGGCATGGTGGAACAGTGGTTAGCACTGTCGCCTCACGGCTAGAAGGTTCTGGGTTTGACCCTTTCTGTCTGGAGTCTACATGTTCTCCCTGTGCCTGCATGGGTTCTCTCCAGCTTCCTCCCACTGTCCAAAGACATGCAGCTTAGGTTGACTGGAGACACTAAATTGCCCGTGAGGAGTGAGTGTGGTTGTTTGTCTCTTAGTATCAGCCCTGTGACAGACTGGCGACCTGTCCAGGGTGGACCCCATCTCTCACCCAGTGTCAGCTGGAATTGGCTCCAGCCCCCTCACGACCCTATTCAGGATAAGTTTTATAGATAATGGATGGATGCAGATTTGTCTTCTGATAAAGTGAGTGTTGTGCTCACGGTGAACCACCAGATGTACGTTTCCTCTGCTGATGGTTTCCCTTCTTGCACATCCCCACCTAATTTGAAATATTTGTGCCAGCTCACTGTTCTTCAGTCAAAGCAGCAGCAACATGAGGTTCTACAAATGGTGAGCAACTTTATTTTACTCTTCTCACTTTACTGTTAATCTAACCACTGCATGAATTTTGCTAAAACGCTAAAACTCTTGTTGTCCCATTTAAGTTATGGTCAGAAAAGCCCATTGTTTTGTAATAGTATCACATGCTGTAGTTTAAGCTGTGATGTTCGCACCAAAATCAAATATTCAAACATCTCCATTGTGTTCTAGATTTCATGTTAAACTGACAAACTTGCAATGTTTGTCCATCAGTAACTCATTAACCCCTAAAGGCAAAGTGAAAAAAGTGTATTAAAGGAGGTTCTTCTAACAGTTAGCGAATATCTTTCATGGGTGTAAAGGACAAATAAACCCTTCTCTTTAGGTTTTATGACACAAATCCAAGTTTTGTTTAATTAAAAGTCTCCTGACACTAATTTTTTCTCAATGTGGAAAAAAGCTGACAGCCTGCCTCAGGCATCATCTGAAGGTGTGTTTCTGCAGCACTGGTCAAGTGATCTTGACATTAATGTTTGTCCTCAGGGTTTGCGTGTTCATGAGTCTGTGTTGCTGTTCTGTGCAGCCAACAGAGGTGGCCGGCGACTGGAGTAAAAACATCGAGGATAAGGCCGACAGGATGTTGGAGACTTCTTAACACACTCCTGGATGGACGAGACAGCAGTGGTGAGATGTTTCCATCAGAGGTCTGAGTGACTGTGTCTCTGAGTTCCAGCTGGACACAGAGGCACAAGAGTTTAGACTCGTTAAAGACACCGTTAAAATTGTTTTCATGGTGCAGTGGTAAACCAAGTTGCCTCTGCCATGATGAAACTGATAATATGGCTTTAAAAACCACATTAAAGGGGATTTTTAATGTGAAGGTTTCAAAAGCTGTTTAGAAAACCCTGAATACCGAAAAGTGACAGACTGGTCCCAGTTTGTCCAGTTTGGGCTCCTTTATATCCAGTACAGTAGCCTTCCACATAAACAGTGTCTGTGCATCCCAGAGGCTTCGGATCACTCTCTCTCCAGGGAGGGCTGGGCTGGGTGTATTTCAGGAGCTCGCAGGCCCATTGGTCTGACCGGGAATCCACTTCCATAAAGAGGATCTGGGCATTTTGCTGAGGCATTGCAGCCCACCATATATACCCTTTTCATTTTTCACTGTGCGTGGCTCTGGCAGTGTCTCCTTGTCTTCCACCAAGTGTGTTGTCCTCTTTCTTCTTCCTCCTCTCAGTAGGTGAGAAAAGAGATTTATTTTTCCCTAGGTTTTTTCTCCTTGGGCCTCTCTGAGAGCAGCACTTTTACTTTATCAAAAAAAGGATCTTCAGTCGGTCCACAAACCAGCCAGACTGTTTCTTAAACTGGGATTGTAGCTGCTCGTTCCTCCACCTGTGCCCCATCCTGACAACCTCACCTGGCTTTGTTTCTCGGTTGGTGTCGTCTGACAGACCTTCATCTATGAGACCTGCTCAGCTCCACGGCGTTGGAGTTTTATGGTGCTGAGGCTGTTTGCAGCTCAGTGTTAGTGAGCGCGATCATTGGCTGTGGAGGCAACATCTTACAACCGTGGCGGCTCAACTTTGGTCCCGTGTTTTCTGAATGGTTGTTCAAATATGATGCTTTAAAAATCGGGAAAGAGAAAAACTGGTTCTGGTTTTGGTAAACAATCTGACAAAACCAGCTTTGGATTGACATCACGTGTGTTTATCTCTTGTGCCATTTTCTGTGGCAGATGATGTGAAATGCTTAAAGTTTATTGGTTGTAATGTTTTACACTCTATGACACTGACGAACGGACTTAATGACAATTGAGAGGGTAATGAACCTTTTAATTATTAGTGACATTAAGCTGATGGACAATCTGTCTCCATGGTCCAGCTGTTTCACATACAGCTAGTTTAATCATTATTTTAGCTTTGACGTCTTTTAGTAAAGCTTCATAATTTGTACATTTCTCAGAACAATAAGTTGTTTAACTTTTTAAAGTGGTAAATTTGGGTCTGTTGTGTCACATCATTGACAAATTATAGGATTTTCTCCAAACAAAATCACAGTTGCACAGTTTTATTAGTTTTTCTTTAAAAAGTCATCATGAAAAACAAAAATGGAATTTAATTGGTCACTGAGATTTAATTTGACCTAATATTTTATTATTCAGAGCTATTTAAAAGTATCAGTGATGAATTTTAATGAATTATATTCCACTGGAAGTTTTTTTCATATCAACGCTCCACCTGATCCAGTTGTAGACATCAAGATGCGACACCCGATCCTGATCGTCCCAGTTTAGTTCAGTCTCCTCAGCTGTGGATCGTGTTACGGCACAAACATTCCCGTCCATCCACCAGAGCAACGTGCTGATCTCAGAGAAGCTCAGCCACATCCTGAGCACAGTGTTCAGCAGATATTTCCTCCCTCTCAGTGTCGTCTTATGTGTTTCTTCATGCAGGTTGTGAACTGCAAAAACCTCCAAGATGTCTGAGTGAGTCTGAACAGCATGATCAGTGATTAGATCCATCAGGTTTTAACTTTCACCTGAATTATTTCTGTGTAAATAATCAAGCAAAACTCCCACAGTTATGGAAATATTTTCTGAGAATTGGTGTAAAAGTAGTACTGGTGAGGAATTTTTATTTTTTATTTTTTATAATTAATATTATTTAGGACATTCATCTGCCTTATTTCACAATAGTGCTCTTAGCTTACTGCTTTAAACAAGCAAAACTGTGAAAATATGTTCTGTCTAGATGCAACTAGAAAAACATGATGTTAACCAGCAATTTGAGGTTAACTGAGCTGAAGATGAATGTTGCTGCTGTTAACGTCGTTGTCTGACACAACTTCCTTCTAAACAGGAAAAAGATGACGTCCAGCCGCAGGCATCAACTGAAGGTAAAACAACAGCATTAAATATATTTGTTTAAATTAATGCAGTTATAGGCACATTTCTTAGTCTATTTTTGTCTCTGTGGCTCACAGAGAGGAGAGACAGCAGGCTGGGAGACAGACAATATTTAGGATAAATTCATTGTTGAGTTTGGTCTTTTGGTGGGATTTGTTGATAATAATTTTAGAAAATCTCCAGAGTTATCCTTCAAACAGGTTTTAGGTTTTGCCACATGCACAGAGAAACCTTTATCTTCATACACCCTGATGTCCTGCAATTGTTTGTCCTGCAGAGCCTGATCCTGCAGATCGCTCAGACCTGGATCCAGCAGGAGCAAAAGGAAATTGCGGCAGCTAAAGAGGTCTACTTGGCTGAGCACTGTCCTGCCCCGGAACTGAGAGGAGACCTCATGGTGAGATGGGCGTCAACCGAACAACCAAGTAGTCACTGTAGCTCTAGTTAATGCAGATATCATTCAACTATGCCTGTGTGTAATCCTAAGTAAGGTCCTGTCTCTCAGGAAAGGCATTCTGGGAAATGTAGAATCCACTGAAATAACGGCAATGCACATTATGTCACTTCAATGCATAAATGTACATGTAGGCAAATAAAAACCTTGTTTTCCCAGAAACAATAAAATGCAGTTAGCCTAGGTTAGCACAAGGACTGTAAGCCGGTGGAAAGTGCCAGTCTAGCTCCATCAAAAACTGAAAAATGCCAACAATCTGTTTGATTTATGTTTGATTAAAAATAAAACTTTAAATACGAGACATTGTGTTTTAGAGGAGGTTAGGTGGCTGTGCTCTTAGCAGTTAGCCAGGCTAACAAATTAGCTTTCTTATTTGTTTTATATTAAACAACTGCCCCACGTGTGACTGTCACGTGCCCTTTTGTTAAAAAATTATGTAGTTGAAGGAATTCTAGCCACATTTTTAAGTTAACTTCTACAGTGTGTTTTCTCAGTGTTTCTTTTGTGTAGAAAAAACTGAACAACTTTGAGATGTTACACAAACAAGATACAGAAATTATTTTCTTATATCTTGTACCATTTAACTTCAAGAAACACATACACTGTAGGAACTGTATATAAAATGTTTGCAGTGCTCTGCCAGATGAATGTGTATCTGACACTCCTTAGCATTGCTAACATTACTGTTCTTGGTACTGACCAGTATTTGTCAGGTCTTCACATTTTGGAGGCAAGATGCTAGATTCTGAAGCTAACATGATCTTGTCATGGTTTTCTTCATCCTTAAACTTTTAGGGTTTGACATGTACATTTACATTCTTGGTGTGGGCAAAATTCAGATCATAGAAAACCAAGATTTCCTTTACGGTCTTTAGTTTTTCTCTTTTTGGCTTAAATTTTAAAGCACTGGTGTTGATGTTGGACACAGTAAGTGCACCTGTAGCTGCACATACTGTGCATGTAAGATAATAACTGTGTGTGATGACAGGAAGTTTGCAAGAAGCTGCACGCCGCCATCGACAAAATCGATGAGGAGAGGTACGACATTGCGGCCAAAGTGCAGAAGGCTGACAAAGAGGTACATGTTCTCCAACAGCATCACAGCACAACAACTCTTGGCAGCAAACTAAAGTGGAACTGTCTTCTTCTCACAGATTGAAGACCTGAAAATCAAAGTCGTGGAGCTGATAGGCGTAAAGAAACCCGCCCTGAAGAGAGTGCGTATGTCCGCTGACTCCATGCTCAAAGCTCTGCTGGGCTCCAAACACACAGTCAACATGGAACTGAGAGCCAACCTGAAGCAGGTGAAGAAGGAGGTCAAAGAGGAGGTGAGCTGACACTTTGTACTGGCATGTTTTGGGCATTTTGCTGACAGTTGTGTCTTTATAAAAAGCGAGGTGCTGAGTCCTGTCCTTGTGCTTGTGTTGTTGGTGTTAGATGTTGTTCAGTCCACTGAGATAAAGATGATGAATTGTAGTTTCCAGATGTGGATGCACAGTAGAACAATTAAATATGATTACTTTAGCAGATCATTAATTTATAATCAGCTATATAGTCAAAGAAGTTGTTTGTATGTTGTATGAACATGTAAACACTGTTTCTCTCTACACAGCCAGGACCCACGTTTTAACTGTAGAACTCTAGCAGGTTACTAAAACTCCCTAAATGAGTCCTGTGTGGCGGTTTAGTAAAAATAAATCCAAAGCTATGACTTCTCTGAGTGAATGCATTTCCTCTGCAGCCTCTGGAGGCGCTCGGCGACTGGCGTAAGAACATCGAGGACAAGGTCGACAGGAAGAAGATGTTTGAGACCTCCTAAACGCGTCGATGCTGATTGTCGTCTGTTTACATGAACTCCATGGGTCATATATCTGTTGGTTTAATGAACCAGCTGAGGTTTTATTTGTTTTGCTGATGTCACACAGGGCTGAACAGCAGGTTAGCATGTCTGAGAGGAGTCACGCTGTGGGAGGTTTAAAGCTTTTGAGGGTTTTGTTGTTGTTGTTTTTTTGCACTTTGTCTTGTCTAGAGGGAGGGAAGGGGCGTCGAGAGTTTCTGCAGGTTCACACATGACACCAACTCATAAACCGCACACATTCAGGGAAACGTTCACAGAAACAATAAAGTGAAATGTGGAAGAAAATCACAGTGGGTTTTTGTCTTTTTTCCATCTAACTTCATTCAGATTGATACACTGCTGGGTTGTTTATTACACTATGTCAACAAAAACTTCACTGTAAGTTCTTAAACTGTCTCTTATTTTCAGCACGACTTACTTAGTTCTATGTCCAGGTCTTTAACACTCTGCCATCCTAACACAGGTTTGTCAAATTTGGGTAATTTAGATCAAAATAAAACTGCTTTAAGCCTTAAAATATCATTTAAATCACTCCTAAATTGAAGCTGTGCTTCATATTTAAAGTTGTGAGAACTGCAGTAATCTGACATTTTCATCTGAAATTTGTTTGTGCTTGAAACTTGAAACATTAGACTTTTTAGGAAATTGTTTCAAATGTATTAAAAATATTATCATCAGTGTAAGCAATGAACCCTGTGGTGATGAGCGCTCTGGATCAGGATCAGCAGCCCTAAAATGTAAATGGTATAGTCATTCATTTTTCTAATAACATGAGTATACAAACACATCTTTATCATTCTGATTAGTGATTATGGTGAACCTGGTGAATCCATGCAATCTATTGGTACTGTGGACAAAATAATAGAAACACAGACAGTACAGCATAACAGCCTCCACAGTGACCACACAGGGGAACCAGCACCTCTGTGAAACAGCCTGAACGCAGACTGAGCATCACCACCTTCATGAAGGTGGGACTATTGGGTTACACTGACTTAGTTTGAGATCGGTGTTGCTAATAAACCTGCAGATGGGTGTAGTCAGGACCTCTGCTACAGGTGTCCAGTGGCACATGACCTGCCACACCATTTTGATCTGGGATTTATTTCTTGTGCATAAGTGGCCTGATTTTTAATGTTTATGATCATACTCCTGCCTCTTTGTCCCGTTTCCTGACTCGGTAGGGTGTCAAATAAAGGCAAAGTGACAAAAAAAAAATCTTTAGCACAGAGGAGAGAGTTTGCACACCCACCTCAACAAGATGTCTCCTTTGATTTAGTTCCGTGTGTGTCTGTGAAGAGGTCTGTGAGTGCATGTATGATTGAGCTTTAGGTGATTAAACTGAATGTTGTGAGGAGCCTCATGCAGTTTCCAGAGAGCTGATCTGAGCACGCCTCTGATGACTGGTAGTCCACCTGTTGGGAATACGTTAGTGGACACTGGTGTGGCTGTGATACTGCAGGAGGCAGAACTAAAGCATCTGTACATTTCCCCCTGTGCTGCTGTAAAACAGTTTGAACTAAAGACAAGAAAACAGCTCACTGAGGTGAGTGTGCAAACCCTGTTTAGGATTTTGACTTTGGTTGTACAACCCCCCCTCCCCTTTCTGTCTTATCATGTGACAAAAACTCAACGAATCTGAACTAGAGACACAAGGTTTCGTGATGTCTCACTGAGAGCGAAGGAAGGTGACTAATGATCCAGGCTCCCGGTAGGTTCCTGCAGTTCCTGGTCTCTGTCCTCACACTCCTTCTATGGTGCTCTGGCCCTGGCCTGCCGAAGGCCCGAGGCTCCGGGGCCTCTAGAGTTTCCTCTGCAGCTAACTTTATCCTTTTAGCCTCCTGGGGAATGTGAGGAGATGCCTCTGAGTTATATTTGGATCATGTGACTTCACCTTTTAAAAAAACACTACATTTTCTCTGCAGTCTGCACAGTTCAATCTTTACAAAAAGCTGCATCTATCTGCCATTATAACATCCATCCATCCATCCATTATCTATACTGCTTATCTCGAATAGGGTCACGGGGTCAGAGCCAATCCCAGCTGACACTGGACGAGAGGTAGGGTCCACCCTGGACAGGTCTCCAGTCTGTCACAGGGCTGACATGTAGACCACACTCACTCCTACAGGCAGTTTAGAGTCACCTGTCAACCTAAGCTGCATATCTGTGGACTGTGGGAGGAAGCTGGAGCACCCAGAGAGAACCCACGCAGGCACAGGCTTGAGCTATGCTGAGAGTTTTTAGTTACATCCACATTTCTCTTTTTATTTTTTAAAAATCCATATCACTTTATTTCCTGTCAGTCCTGCATGGAGAAAACTGTTGAAGTGGTTTTCCATTTCCTCACTCAGCTGAATGTCTTTCTCTCCTGTGAACGTCATGACTGTAACCCAAGCAGATCCAAATAACTGACCCAGGCTGTAAAGTACTTTGGAGGAAAGGTGCTGGAGGCGAGAAGGGACAGAGGGCACTGCCCCTCATAAAATTTTAATGGGAAAAAACACTGACTCACGTGGACGAGGGTTCAGGGTGTCGTATACCAAAGTGTCCTGGGTTACGTTTACTGTGTGAGTAAAGTGTTGGGGTTGAAAGAAATACAAGGAAGTATAGTGAGCATTGGTCTTGCTGGGCGGCTGAGGCTCAGCAGGTAGAGCGGTTATTCTCCACCCAGCATTTCGGCAGTTCGATTCCCGTTCTCCTCAGTCCACATGTTGAAGTGTTCTTGGGCAAGACACTGAACCCCAACTTCCCCCCGGTGGCCAGGGACAGCACCACCCTGTGTGAGAGAGTGGGCACCGCAGACGGCTGCTTCAGTTCTGTACTGAAGACAAATTCCTTGTGTGTGTGTAACACACTTGGCCAATAAAAGCGTTTATTACTAACAACGCTGAGGCTGGTCCTTAGAGAGAGGAAGAACTCAAACCCAACTCTTTGATTAGAACAATATCTTACGAGCTGAGAAGGAGGAAACTGATGCCTATAAGGACATTTGGAATAAATCTATGTTGTACATGGAAGGAGGATAATTAAGTTAATACATGCGTACTGATATGTAAACGTGAGTAGATGTTTAGAGTGGGAACTATTATTAAATCT